AAATGGTGTAGGGAAAACTGGCTAGCCATGTGCAGAAAGCTGAAACTAGATCCCTTTTTAAACCTTATAGAAAAATTAACTCTAGATAGCTTAAAGATTTAAACATAAGACCTAAAACCATAGAAACCCTAGAAGAAAACCTAGGCAATAATATTCAGGACATAGACATGTACAAGGACTTCATGACTAAAACACCAAAAGCAAGGTCAATGAAAGTCAAAATTGACAAATGGCATCTAGTTAAACTAAAGAGCTATGCACAGCAAAAGAAACTATCATTAAAGTAAACAGGCAACCTACAAAATGGAAGAAAATTTTTCCAGTCTACCCATCTGACAAAGGGCTACTATCCAGAATGCACAAAGAACTTAAACAAATTTACAAGAAACAAATAGTCCCATCAAAAAGTGGGCTAACGATATGTACAGACATTTCTCAAAAAAAAAAAAAAAAAAAAAAAAAAAAGACATTTATGCAGCCAACAAACATTAAAAAAAAGCTCATCATCACTGGTCATTAGAGAAATGCAAATCAGACTCACACTGAGGTACCATCTCATGCCAGATAGAATGGCAATCATTAAAAAATTAGGAGACAACAGATGCTGGTGAGGATGTGGAGAAATAGGAACAATTTTACATGGTTGGTGGGAGTGTCAATTAGTTCAACCATTGTGGAAGACAGTGTGGTGATTCCTCAAGGATCTAGAACCAAAAATACCATGTGATCCAGCAATCCCATTACTGGGTATATACCCAAAGGATTATAAATCATTCTATTATAAAGACACATGCACATGTATGTTTATTGTGTCACTGTTCACAATAGTAAAGACTTGGAACCAACCCAAATGCCCAACAATAATAGACTGGTTTAAGAAAATGTGGTACATATACACCGTGGAATACTATGCAGCAATAAAAAAGGATGAGTTCATGTCCTTTGCAGGGACATGGATAAAGCTGGAAACCATCATTCTCAGCAAACTGACCCAAAAACACAAAACCAAGCACCGCATGTTCTCACTCATAAGTGGGTGTTGAACAATGAGAACACACAGACACAGGGAGGGGAACAGCACAGAGGGGTATGGGGCTGGTGGGGGGGGGAACAGTAGGTGGTAGGGGGATGGGGAGGGATAGCATTAGGAGAAATATCTAATGTAGATGGCAGGGTGATGGATGCAGCAAACCACCATGGCATTTGTATACCTATATAACAAACCTCCACATTCTGCACATGTACCCCAGAACTTAAAGTATGATTTTTTAAAAAATGATGGCTTTCAATAACTGATGTTTATAGAAGAAATACATGTATAGCAGAATATCGAGATGTTGACCACCACCTGCGGAAGTCTGGCCTGTAGACCCTGACTCAACAATGGATGAATGAATGCACTCTCACACCTAGTTCAATGACACAAGTGGGCTAGGGATGGCTGTTGGCTGCTTTCTGAAGGTGAAGTGCAACCAATTGACCAAGACCCTCTGTCCATCCACACATTTATTCCATCAAAATTTTACAACAGAGGTTCTAAGTCAACACATTTGTGGATAATTAACATGGTTAAAAGAGTGGTTATATGAATGATAAAAAGCTTTATGTTCTGGGCCCAGAGTAAAGTCTATTAACAGATAATTCTCCTCCCACTGAAGGACCATCCAGCACCAAGTTTACATGAGTAAACAGAGCAGAAACAAAGGAACGTGGGGTAAACAAAAAGCCTTTGATCCTCTCTATATCTTTCCTATGCTAATGTTAATGAGGTGGCTGCCTTCAGCATGCCTCAATAAGACCTTTCTGTCCTCCAAAAGGTTTGAGATTATTACAATCTGTAACTTTTCCTAATAGTTAATATCTTGCCAGCCACCCCAAGTGAATAGCAACAGAATAAAAAACTGAAAATAAGAATACTATAATAGAAAGCCAAAGCTTTTTCAATTTATTAACAAAAGATAAACTGATCATCTCCAGTACTCATATTACTAAAGTCTCACACCTCTAACAATTCGGCAATCATCTTTTGGAAAAAAAATAAGCAGGAATAGAATTTAAATATTGATGTGTTATATGACTAAGTCCAGTGAATGCCTTGATAACCATGGCTGGAAATGCTTGTCACAGAAAGAGGGGCTTTGAAATTCTGACAGCAATTCAACCTTGAAATGTTGATAGAATTTTGACAAAAGTGGGGACAGAGGAGGGGACGAAAGGTAGTTTGTCCAAACAAAACATGGAAAAGAACAAGATATATTCATAAGATCGAGGAGAAACTATTCTGCCTGAGAAAACCATTCATTTGAGGGGCAATGTGAGGTTTGCTTTTACCTATGAAATTGAGCGTAATGGTAATTTAGAAAACAAGATTAAGCATTTCTTCTTTGAATTCTTTTTCAAAGTATTCCTAATCAAATTCTCCTAAAAGACTTTTGTTTTTTAAAATAGTCTTTCATTCTATTTTGCATATCTTTTTTTCTTACTATAAAAGTAATACACTTTTTTTTTTTTTTTTGACATGGAGTTTTGCTCTTGTTGCCCAGGTTGGAATGCAATGGCACAATC